ACCAGCTTACAACCTGTCGGGACTCCCCGCGCTGAACACCATCGACGAGGCACTCGAGATCTTTGCGTGCCCTGCGATGACCTCGTTTACCGGCCTTGAGAATGTGGCGCGCATTGGTTCGCTCTCCATCGTCTCCTCAAATTCGTTAACCAACTTTTCAGCCCTCAACGGTGCCGAGCCGGTGCTTCTGCTCGGTCAGAACTCTGCACCAGCTCTGAGCATTGATGCGTGCGCAGATTGCGAAGCTCTTTGGTCGCACTTGGTGGAGACGGTCGAGATTGCTGACGGCGCCAGTGTCAGCGTGCCGTGGTCTACCTGTGGCGGCTTTGGCACGGTGCCGGCTGGTAGCCTGTCTTGCGCCTGTAACCCAGGCTACACAGACTACATGTGCACCGGCTACAACGGCGATGACTTGATCTGCAACGTGTCGACCGCCAGTGACATCAAGGCAATGCTTGCTGGCGTCACCCACCTCTACAGCCCTCTAGTCCTTCTCCTTTATTGTGGCGCTGGCTCCAGCTATGGACTTTTGGACACGGTGACATACGCAGCCGCTCTCTACTTTGAAGATGCCATCGATTATCAGGGCCAGATCCCGGCGGGACTGGGCTATGTGAGCATCTTTGAGACGCAATTATCTGACATGTCGCTCTTTGGCGCAGTCACGCACATTGACAGCCTGGAGATTAACAGCAACGAATACATGACCACTTTGGATGGCCTCGAGAGCCTGGAGACAGCGGGCCAGCTCGTGGTTTACAACAATCCCACACTGACCAACGTGGATGCGCTCGGCAGCCTCCTCAGCGTCACCGGCGACCTCATCATCGTCAACAACGACGTGGACGTCAACGCCATTGCCTTTGACGTCAACGCCATCTCCACCAACACCACCCTAGTCACCGGCTAAGCCGAGCCCGCTGTAACCCGTCTGTGTTTGTTTCTGTTCATATGCCCTTATTGATGGATATTTGTTGTGCCCGAAGCGCTTTATACTTGGTGTAGTTTCGAGCCCCCTTGTTGACGACCCGTCTCGCTGGACCAATTGAGCCATCAACATGCATATTTGCTCTTTGCGTACTTGATGACTAAGATTACATGTATTATTCGGTGTCAACGCCGAGTAGGTCTGATTTCTACTCAATCTCTTTCCCTGTCTGTCTGTCTGTCTGTCTGTCTGTCTGTCTGTCTGTCTGTCTGTCTGTCTGTCTGTCTGTCTGTCTGTCTGTCTGTCTGTCTGTCTGTCTGTCTGTCTGTCTGTCTGTCTGTCTGTCTTCTGTCTGTCTGTCTGTCTGTCTCGGCCCATCTCTCTCCTCGTGATCATTGTGTTGCACTTGCCCTTGCAATGAGGTCCTGCCCTGTACAAGTTTATTCTGCCTCTTCCTCCCTCCCTCTCCCACACAAGTTTTCCATAACGGCTATTTTTCCTCCGCCACAGAAATAGAATCACTTGTAGTATTTTCTCCTAAACTATTCATAAAGCTTCCAAGCGTTGATTTTGAATTTCACACCAACTCTTGTTCTGATGCAACTCATCGCGAAACTTTCATTTGATTCATTTTTTTCAATTTTTTTTTCAAGTGTGTGTGTGAGCAAGATGCCTCGACCGCGCGAGGCCATCGTCTCGGCGGATCGCCTGCTGCGAGACAGCCGCTTCTCGGCCAGTGCTCGTCGGGCAATCTTTCAAAAAAGGAAGGAGTATGCGTCAAAAGTTGCGTTGGCGTTCTTTTTGCAGACGTTGGCTCGCTTGGTGACTGAGCATCAAGCCGGTCTTCTTCCTGACGACTTTAATGCTGACGAAGCGATCCTCTTCCTCTGCCTGGCGGCGACTAACATGGTCAAGAATGCCACTCGTGAATTGGAGCGGCCGCCCGTGGCGATTGCTGAGAATGGAACGCCTCATGTAGAGCTGGCTCGCTTTACCGACGCGACATGGACTCAATGTTTCGGCCTGGCAAATGCAGCGCAGTTTGAGCGACTGGCAGCCGCGCTGGCCCCCCATGTCGACGCGCATCTACCTGTCCCACTGCAAGAGGCCCTTCTTGCGTTTTTTGCTCTTTTCCACCGGTCATCACGGCTCGCAGACGCCATCCGCACCTTGGGAGTGTCATGGACGGTACCCAAGATGTCTCAGGTCATCAATCAGTTTGCGCTGGCCGTGAAGAACAAGTTTCAGCGCCGGTTGGCCTTTGATGCGCGTTTCTTTCAACCAGACTGGACCGCAACCGCAGCTTTGGCCGTGGCCGCAAAGGAAGCCTCCTCACCAGGGATATGCGCATTTATCCATGGCACGAGCCAAAACCTGGCTCAACCCAAGGAGAGAGCCGCTCGAGCTGCCTTTTACTCTGATAAAGATTCGGTGAGCCGGCACTCGTTGACTCCATCGAGATCCGTCGTTTTTTTTTTTTTTTCTTTTTTGCTCCTTTTATTTAGCCCTCATTTTTGAATGGTTGTAGAGGTACACTGTTCGCTACCAAGGCGTTGTGGCACCAAATGGCATCGTGACCAGCTTTTCAGGGCCGTGGGAAGGTAGGCCCAGCTGCACAGGTGTTGACGTGCACATTGACTTCTCGAACCGGCTCATGTTTGCTTCCACTCCTCCAGGGATGAATGATGACGCTTGCATGCTAAACAAATCAGGCTTGCTGGAAAGTCTTGAACGAGCATGGCCTGCGCAAAAGCCCTGGTGCTTACTGGGGGACTCGACATATCCGCAGTCCAAACGCCTGATACACCCTGGAGAGGGTTGCACCGCAGCAACTGGCCCGATAAACGCCGGTCTCAAGCAGCTTCATACTATGGTTGAGTGTGCTGTTAGGACTCCTGGTTATGGGGTCACATCGCGCTTTGAAGGCATTGTGGATTCGCGCCGAATGATGGTTCACGAGCGGCCAGTATCAGCCTACATGCTCACAGCAGCCTTGCTGACCAACATGATTGCGTGTGATAACCAAGACAATCCCGTTGCCCAATGTTTTGGTCACAAGATGCCAATCCCCTCCTTGACCGAATACATGGCGCCACTCTCTCCCTCGGAACGTTGACTACCCGAGTGCAGAGATGGGGAGGGAAGGGGATCCGCCAAAAAGGGATGGAAAATTTGAATTTTGTGTCTTCATTTATTATTCAATCTCAAATCCGGCAGCAAGCCCACATGTCGTCGTCACAAATCGTGCCATGGTTTAGCAACAGACCGATCGACTGCTGCTTGAAGCGTCGTGCTTCTACGCGAGTTGATTGAACGCGGTGTTGATCTTGCTTGCTCGCTGCCAATGTGGTGACGATGTGCAACGTTTTGATGCAGAAACACGACCACTGGGCCATCAAGCTTGGTTCAAGTTTGGCTGCTTGAGGTCTGTGTTCGCGCCAGCTCGGCCGTATTTTCTTTATTCACAGCGCTCCTCTGCTACTGCTACAAAAACATCAAGGCGCAGTGGCAAATGGCCACCAATGTCGACCCCCGACCCCACTTCTTTCACTTCCAATCAAGCCATTTGTAACCGGAAGGACCCCTTGTGGCAGTGAAACGGACACCTTGCCAGGGTCCAATTGCATCCGAATGTACTCTAACGCCTTAGGTGTGTCTTTTGAGAACTAAAGGTGACTACCGTTCTGTTGATTTTTTTGTTTACATGTGGTGACTTTTGTTTCCCTTCAGAGAAAGCCCTTGAACAGCACAAAACAAAATTGTTGCGGGAAACACATTTTTTTTTCTGTTTTTTTGGGAGAGAGAGAGAGAGATCAAAAGGTGTGTGTGTGTGTGTGTGTGTGTGTGTGTGGTGGAGAACGACAGACGATCTGCCCTCAAGGGCCCGACCAGAGGCAGCCATGGCAGTGGACCCCGCCGCCACCCTCTTGTGCTTTAAACACTCTACATTCAGACGTGAGAGGTTGCCGGCCGTGGACTCCCCGCAAGCTCGGCACATCTGTTCCTTCATTGAGCCACTGCTGGCGACCGCCACTGACGTGAACGACCTTCGGGAGCGCCTGCGCGCAGACCATGGACTCAGCCACACCATATCTTCTCATGCGTTGAGGATTGCACTGAGCCGGTACCGTCCGCTGCTCCCTCCATTTCCTGCCCGCTTGCGGAAGCGGCGATCGGCGGGGCATCAGCTGAAGCGGTATGCGGAGCTGACAGCGACCCCCGAGGAAGCACTACGTGGCGCCCATGACAATCTTCTCCAAGCTAAAGGCGGAATCACACTGATCGCCAAAAACTCTCTTGTTGCAGAGCCCGGGCAAGAGTCTGTGCTCAAAGTTGAACTGCGCAACGAAGGCCCAGCCAATCGTTTGCTGCATGTCTGGGGCATGATTCACAAGCCACCTCACGTGAGCCTCCAGGACGTGAACAAGGTCCCAGTCCCCGCCAATGGCACCACGACGCTGCACATTTTCTATCGCCCAACCCAGCAGGAGCACGTTCGTTGCCTGCTGGTCCTCAGCTTTGGTAGCTTTCACTTGGGGCACGTGCTCGAGCTCAAAGCCGAGTCGGATTTGCTCCGAGAGCTGCGAGCCGAGAATAAGCCTCAAAAGCAGCGCCGAAAGCCAAGGTTCCAAGGGCGAGTCTTCACTGAAGGCATTCGACCTTTGGGTGAGACCCGCTGCAATGCCCCCCTTCTCTCTCTGTTGCTCCCTGCCATGCTCCCCCTATCAGGCCATCGGTGTCGCTCCTAACAGCATACCCCCACATACTGCAGGCAATCTCCCGGCATACACAACCACATTGGCCAAATTTGAGAACACGACGCCGCCGTCTGAGCTGGCCAAACAATTGCCTCCGAAGCCTGAGCCGCTCACGCTTGACACCTACGCCGAGCGGCTTGCAGATCTGTGGCATCTCGAGGAGCATCAAATGACCCTCGACCTTGACAGATACAGCATGGAAAAAGTTCCTCTGACCAGCCGCGGAGGCTATATGACTCTTGACGTCCCTGGTCTCGCGGAGCGCCGACCCTCTGTGCTGAAAGGCGACGCCATCATTATCCAGAACACGCGCGGCCACTCCCACCGTGGGTTTGTGCACGAAGTGCACCAGTGCGAGGTATGGCTGAAGTTTAGCCGAACTGTGCAGACCCAGCATATTGACGGCATGCTGTACGATGTCAAATTCACGCTGAAGCGGACAAATCTGAAGCTTCGGCATCGCGCTCTGTGTGACATCTCCTTGTCACCGTTGCTACCGCTTCTTCTCCCCACGCATGCTCTCTTCCCGGATAACGCAGCGGATCCACAGCCACAGCAGCTCCAGTGGCGCAGCACAGATCTCAACAGTGAGCAACAGCAAGCCGTCCAGGCTGTCGTTCAGCTGCCTCCACGATCCCCACCATACATTATCTTTGGCCCTCCCGGGACAGGGAAGACCAAGACGCTCGTTGAAGCGGTTTATCAGGCAAGTGTGCAGGGAGGCAATCCCGGTATTCCACGAACGCACTCATGGTGCCTGTCTTTGATAGGTGTTTGCTTTGAACAAAGAGGCTCGAGTGCTCGTCTGTGCCCCAAGCAACGATGCCACTGACATACTTCTGGCCCGAGTTACCCGCGCTGTGTCCGGGCAGCTGACTCAAGACGTCATTTTTCGAGCAAACGCGGCGTTTCGTCAGCGCAGTGAGGCCGACCGTAGGGAGGTCGCCGAGTACAGCTGCTTTGACGAAGAGGCCAATATGTACAAGCTGCCCGACAACATGTCACACGTGCGCCTTGTATTTACTACCCTGACGTTTGCCGCTACCGTGACCGACGTTCGGAACGGCTTTGGCGCCGTTGATTATGTGTTTGTCGATGAGGCCGGCTACGCTGACGAATGTGAGACCCTGCTGCCGTTGATCGGCGGCGTCGGGGGCTGGTCCGAGTCAGTCGGCACCCGTATCGTGCTTGCTGGTAAGCCATTGCTTGTTGGATACTACTGCGCGTGCCCGTGGATATCTTAGGTTTGCGTCGTCCTGTTCTACCATAGGCGACCCGTACCAGCTGGGACCCATCATTCGCAGCCCCGTGACTGTCAAACATGGCCTGGGTGTATCCATGCTCGAACGTCTCATGTCCCAAGCTCCTTATGCTCGGCTGCCTGGAGCGCTTACTGGGACTTCCCCTTTGTTTAATCGTGCCTATGTGACCAAGCTCGTCAAGAACTACCGCTCGCACCCGGAGCTGCTCACAGTGCCCTCACGCATGTTTTACGACAACCAGCTGGAGGCTTGCGCCGATGTTGATGAGCGCAACTCGCTGCTCACCTGGGACAAGTTGCCCAACGCCAACGTGCCCTTGGTGTTTCATGGAGTGCAAGGAAAACACGAGCAGGAAGGAGACTCGCCGTCGTTTTTTAATCTTGAAGGTACGAACAGCAACACACCTGCCGCCTCTCAGCTGCGTGTGCTTTACCTCGTAACGGGTATTGGCTTTGGTAGAGCTGGTGCAGGTGCGCAGCTACGTCGAAAGCCTGCTTGGTCACAAACGGGCTGGCCTGAAGCAGACCGACATTGGCGTCATCTCACCGTACGTCAAGCAGTGCCAGCGTTTGCGGCGGGTCTTTAAGGATAATAAGTGGGAGTGCATCAAGGTGGGCACCGTCGAGGCCTTTCAGGGTGATGAGCGCCGCGTCATCATCGTGTCAACCGTGCGCAGTGTCAAGCCAGCGCAACTCGGCAATGTGGATCTGGCCGCCTTTTTGCGCTTTGACGTGGACCACAGCCTAGGCTTTTTGCGCAACCCGAAACGGTTCAATGTGGCCATCACTCGGCCTAAGGCCCTGCTCGTGGTGGTGGGCAATCCCTTTGTCCTTCGATGCGACCCGTGTTGGAGGCAGCTCATTGACTTTGCCCGGGAGCAAGGTTGCTATGTGGGCACAGAGTATGTCGGGCAAGCTGCCCAAACCGAGCAATTGGCCGAGGCCATGCGCAGTGTTATTCTCGACCCACAGATGGACGACGATGATGACGCGGATGAAGCCGCTGCAACCGACCTGCCATGGCAGCGGGAGTACTGATGACCCCCCGACCCACAACCGCCCATTGCAACCCAAGGACTGAGCACGCTGGAAGTTGTGGAGTTTGTTGGAGGTTAATCTTACTGCGTAGATCGTCCGTTCCGTTGTTGCGCGACTACTGCCTGAAATTGACTCGCCATTGATGCTGTCATGACATACTCACGCCCAAGTTCAGCTCATCAGGTGCTTTTATACTCATGTTTCAAGGTCATGGCTCGATCGATGGCAGGGGACAGGGACGTTGGGCCAGGCAGAACGCGTACCAACACAAAGTGAAAAAGGTAATAAATGGTTCAAAGTACAGCCATACAATAAAAGCTCATGGGCATTTCGGAAAGTACCTCTGGTCAGATCTATTGAGCAGCGGGGCTCGTTGCGATAAATTGCCGAATTCTCAACTTGCAATCAAAGACCACAAGGATGTTTTGGGCCATGTATCCTTTTCGACACCGCCACGCATCTCACCTCTGCTGCGGGACTTTTGCGCAGGGCCACCGGTGACAGAATTCCGTCCTTGAGAAGAACCGCATGCACCAGGTCTGGCCTTGTCATGGGCAGAGTTTCAGTTTGGAGTGCGCGCCATTCGGGCTCATCTGCCGGTAGCATGCATGCCTCTGACATCCCAGCGGCCAAGTAGCGACGTGTGGCACAAGCTACTGCTACGCACATTGAGCTGCTGTACCGCAGCCAAACCTCAACCGTATGACAACACGAACTGGAAAACGCATTCCTCACTCCGTTTCTTCTCACTCTGTGTCTCACATGTCAAGTTAGCAAAAGCAAAAACGCTTCAACGTTCGTCCGGATGTAAGACAAAAAGGTCATTGCTTAGCATCATAACTTGAACATGTGAATGTCAGGTCTCTCGTTGGCGGTTTTTCCGTGGCGACGCTACGCCTACATTTGTGGTGTTTTTTTTTTTTTCCGGCACGCGATCATGGGCTGTGGCCAAAGCCGACAGAGGCGCGGTCCGCCCAAGGTCGGCTCTGAAGGCGACCTCCGAGTGCCATCCCCCGTAAACGACGCCAAGGCCGACCTTCCGGCAGGTCAGGCACCCTACCCTGTCGCTCCACACCCTTCCCCTCCGCCCACCTGCCCCCAGCGCCCACCAGCTGATCGTCAACACACATCCTATCCCCATCCCAGGCTCGGAGCGCGCTCTGCTTGGGGTGAGCGCCGCCTTTCTCCGAGGACTCGAGACCCAACTCCGCCAGCAGTTTGATGGCGAGTTTGACGAGCTCACCACCTCGGACATTTGCTCTCGCTACGTCATGCCGCTCACCAAGGCCCGTGCCTGCGCCTGGGTCGACCTGCTTCTCGAAGACCCTGCACAGCGGCCCCACCTGGCGGCAGCCACCGTGTTCGTCTCCCACGCCTGGAAGTATAGCTTTGCCACGACCCTCGCCACGGTGCTGTACCACGAGCGGACGGAGGCACCGGGCGCCTACTACTGGCTCGACCTCGTGCCCAACAACCAACACGTTGCTGCCGACCTCCCCTACGAGTGGTACGTCTCTCGGTGCTTGTCAGGTTGCAGGCTGGCCGTGGTACTGACGGCCTTTGGGTTGGCAGGTGGTGCAACACGTTTCAGGAGAACATCAAGGAGATTGGGCGAGTGTTGCTGGTCATGAGCCCCTGGCGCGACCCCGTGCCCATGACCCGGGCCTGGTGCCTGTTTGAAATGATGCACGCCTTGAATGGGCAGGTGCAGCTGGACATTCGGCTGCCCGAGGCCGAAGTTGACGGGTTTGTGCACGCTTTGGTACGGGACAGCGACGAGGTGATGGCCATGCTTGTGCGGGTGCAGGCGCAAAAGGCTGAGGCGTTCAAGGCCAGCGACCGGGCCATGATCTTCCAGACGGTGGAGGCGACGTTGGGCTTTCCGGAGCTAAACTCCCGGATCAAGGCGCAGCTGCGGGCGTGGTGCCTGGAGCAGGCGCTCGTGGCGGCCAGAGTGCGAGAGGAGGAAGACGGCGAGTGGACGGGGTTTGCAAGTTTTTGCATGCAGGTTGGAAATGTTTTGAGGGACTTTGGCGAGTACGAGCAGGCGCTCGAGTACTACAGCAAGGCGTTGAAGATCCGATTGGCGACGGTGGGCGAGGCCCATCTGGACACGGCCAGTACCTACCACAACATGGCCACTGTCTACAACACCCAGGGCCAGAACGAGCAGGCGCTCGAGTACTATGGCAAGGCGTTGCAGATCACGTTGGCGACGGTGGGCGAGGCGCACCGGGACACGGCGACCGCCTACACTGGCATAGCCAGTGTTTACCACTCCCAGGGCCAGAACGAGCAGACGCTCGAGTACTACGGCAAGGCGTTGCAGATCCGATTGGCTACGCTGGGGGAGGCGCACCCGGAGACGGCCAGTTGCTACAACAGCATGGCCAGAGTCTACGACACGCAGGACCAGTATGAGCAGGCGCTCGAGTACTTCGGCAAGGCGTTGAAGATACGATTAGCGACGGTGGGTGAGGTGCACCCGGAGACGGGCAGTAGCTACACTGGCATGGCCGTGGTCTACGACAAGCAGGGCCTGTACGAGCAGGCGCTCGAGTACTACGGCAAGGCGTTGAAGATCTTTTTGGCGACAGTGGGCGAGGTGCACCCGGGCACGGCCGGTGCCTACATTGGCATGGCCTTGGTCTACAACAAGCAGGGCCAGTACGAGCAGGCGCTCGAGTACTACGGCAAGGCGTTGAAGATCATTTTGGCGACGCTGGGCGAGGTGCACCCGGGCACGGCAAGTCCCTATCACAACATGGCCAGTGTCTACTACAATCAGGGCCAGTACGAGCAGGCGCTCGAGTACTACGGCAAGGCGTTGAAGATCTTTGTTGGCGACGCTGGGGGAGGTGCACCGGGACACGGCCGGTACCTACAACAACATGGCCAGTGTCTACCACAAGCAGGGCCAGTACGAGCAGGCGCTCGAGTACTACGGCAAGGCGTTGAAGATTCGATTGGCGACAGTGGGCGAGGTGCACCTGGAGACGGGCAGTAGCTATACTGGCATGGCCGGTGTTTACGACAAGCAGGGCCAGAACGAGCAGGCGCTCGAGTACTATGGCAAGGCGTTGAAGATCTTTTTGGCGACGCTGGGCGAGGTGCACCCGGGCACGGCCGGTACCTATCACAACATGGCCGGTGTCTACTACAATCAGGGTCAGTACGAGCAGGCGCTCGAGTACTACGGCAAGGCGTTGAAGATCATTTTGGCGACGCTGGGCGAGGTGCACCCGGGCACGGGCAGTACCTACAACAACATGGCCTTTGTCTACGACACCCAGGGCCAGTACAAGCAGGCGCTCGAGTACTACGGCAAGGCATTGAAGATCTTTTTGGCGACGCTAGGCGAGGCGCACCCGGATACGCGCCAAGTTCAAGCGGCTATTCATCGGTTAGAGGCAGCCCGATAATTTTTGCTGGCGCTCAACATTTAATTCCATCGAACAAAGCAATCCCTTTTGCCTCTCTTTGCACGACGTCTCAATCGGACCGACTAGACACGTTTCTCCAGTCCCGTCAAAGCTGTCCTTGGCAGAGAGTGCAGGTGTCACCCTATTTTTTGTAGTTGCTTTGATGATTTCCTGTTGCTCGTGTGAATCCCAACCTATCCTAGTCCCAACCCTCTGCCTCTGGCTCTAGCCCCAGGTCTCGCTGACCCAAGCACATAATTGCGGCGATGCAAGATCTGGGCGTTGGTCTGGCATGGTGCTTTGCACTTGCTTTCAAGAATTACGAATCGAACACGTAAACCAATTTGTTTTTTTTGGAATTTTCTCATCCCAATCCATGGCCATGTCCTCTCGATCCCCGAGTCTCACCGCAAACAGCTCATGCATGCCATCCCTGGCCATGTTGCTGCTGCCACTGACCATGATGAAGAAGAATCTGAACAGAATTGGACGTGGCTCTTGGGCGGAAGCAGGGTGGCTTGGGCCCGGTTGGCTGCGGGGGTAGCAGGGAGGTGGAAAAGGGACAGTACACGTCGTACGTACAAGCCCCAGTTTTGCGGTGCTTCGGAGCCTGCTCGTAAGGGTCTTGAAATTATTTCCAGCTGTCATGGCCGGCAAAGGGCCAGCACACGCCCGTACAAGCCCCAGCTTTATGGCGCTTTCGGAATTTGCATGACTTCTTCAGAATGACAGAAAAAAAAAAGAGAGATTTTGAGAGAGAGTTTGAGAGAGAGAATTTGAGAGAGAGAGTTTGAGAGATAGAAAGAGAGTTTGAGAGAGAGAGAGACAGAGGGACAAAGAGACAGAGTTTGAGAGAGAGACAGAGAGACAGAGAGACAGAGGGACAGAGAGACAGAGAGACAGAGAGAGAGACAGACAGAGAGACAGAGAGACAGAGAGAGAGACAGAGAGAGAGACAGAGAGAGAGAGAACACAGAGAGACAGAGAGACACAGAGACACAGAGACACAGAGACAGAAAGAGAGAGAGAGAAAGAGAGAGAGATAGAGAGAGACAGAGAAAGAGAGAAAAAGAAAGAGACAGAGACAGAGAGACCGAGAGACAGAGAGTGTGTGTTTTTTGCTTCTTCTTCACTCATTCACATTTGCTTTTTCCTCCTCTTTGACATCGGCATCGGCATCGGCAGGCTGCTGGGCGTGCCTTGCTTTGTGTGCGGCGCTTGATCACTTGTGCTTGCTACGGGCTCTCTTGATCGGGACTTGTGGTGACGCTGGATCCTTTTTTGTCGAGAGCATCGCTGCCACTTTTTTCTGTTTTTGTGGGGTCACTGATCACACTTCACAGTCGTCAGCGTGCGCTTGAGCAAGCAAGCGGACCTGTCCTCGTGAATGTCACCCAGAACTATCGAGCAGAGGCGAGTCGCTTGGCGCGTCCGGCAACGAAGAGCAAAAGCCTGCGAACTGGCTGCCGTTTTGGAAACGACGCGCCTGTCGAATCCCGAATTTTGGGTTGTCAGACGAGTTGTACTTGGAGGGGGCTCATGAGATTGGTGGTGATTCGAGAAACAAGAAGAAGCTGGTGAATAGAGAGAGAGAGAGAGACCGTTACGATGAGTGAAGATGGAAAGCAGCTGTTGAAGGCGTGTTATTCATTCAATCCACACAAGGCGCTGCAGCTGGTGACCAGTTGGGACCCACAACGTATTCGAGATGCTGCCCAATACAAAGATATGGTACGTATGCTGTTTGGTATGACGATGTGTGATACTACACTTTTCAAAAAAGTTACTAGATACAGTGACGTTATGGTATAACATGCTGCATGTTTGTATCATCATCCCACAGGGTGACCAAACGGCACTGCACTGGGCCTGCAATTGGGGTCAAGACAAGGTGGTGGAGTTGTTGGTGAAGCACGGTGTTGATGCTACAGCAAAGAGCAACGTCAGTACAGTACCTCCCTCTTCCCCCTTCACCCCGCCTATGATGGTGCACTTGTACCCCAATGATGCTGTACCTGTACGTCATGCTGATGCATCATCCCACAGCTTGGCGTTACACCACTGCACAATGCCTGCGCTAACGGTCATGACAAGGTGGTGGAGATGCTGTTGAAGCAAGGTGTTGATGCTGAAGCCAAGAACATCGTCAGTACAGTACCTTCCCCAACCCCGCTACGATGGTTCACCTGTACCACATGATGATGATGATGATGATGATGATGATGATGATGATGATAATGATGATGATGCTGTACCTGTACGTCATGCTGATGCATCATCCCACAGGATGGCTTTACACCACTGCACGAGGCCTGCTATAGCGGTCCTGTCAAGGTGGTGGAGATGTTGTTGAAGCACGGTGTCGATGTTGAAGCCAAGGACCTCGTTAGTACAGTACCTCCCTTTTCCTCCTTTTACCCCTCCGTCTGATGGTACACCTATGCCACATGATGACGATGATGCTGTACCTGTACATCATGCTGATGTATCATCCACAGACTTGCCAAACACCACTGCACATTGCCTGCCAAAACAGTCATGACAAGGTGGTGGAGATGCTACTGGTGCATGGTGCTGACGCTCAAGCCAAGAACAAGGTCAGTACAGTACCCCCTCCTCCTTCTTTCCGCTTTGCTGCTGCTCCTGCTCCCGCTGCCCGTCGCCTTTGCGCCGTTCCTCGCTACGCTCGTACGTTCTTCCTCTGGCTCCTTTTCTTCTTTCCCGCTATCCCTCTTCTTCCCCCGATTTCCGTCCGCCCGTTGTCGCTGGCCCCTGCACCCCGCTTCGTTTCGCTGTATCTTCCGCCTGCGTCCCTGTTCTGATGTTGTGTCTTCAAACCGAGCACTACCCCATCTCTTGCCATCGCGCCTTTGCCTCTCTCGCGCGCTCAAGCGGCGTTCAATGCTTTTTTCTTAAGCTTTACCCCGGCACTCTCGACGCTCAACCCCACCCACTCACGCAAACAAAAAAAATAAAAATGAAAACGTGACTCATATTTCCAAACATATTGATTATGATATAGTTCGGCCGAACGCCGCTCCATGTAGCCTGCATTGCCTTCTCTGCTCGCCGACAGGGCATCCAGCAACTCTTGCGGCACGGCGCCGACCCGGATGTGACAGACATTGTAAGCCTTCTGAGCACGATGCCGTACCTCTTCTGCTCTTCTGCTGCATCTGCGACTGATTTCTGATGACCTGCTGTGGCAGGGAGGTGCACGGCCCTTGGATCTGCTCCTTCGCGACAGTCGCATCAGGCTGGAGGTGGGCCGTTTTTATTTTTGGTATCGATTGCAGAGGAAAGCTTGCTTACCGATGAATCTGCTTCACCTTATAGCTGATTGAAGAACTATTGGGCACAATCCGTACCCCTTGCTCCTACCAAACTTCAAATCCCTATGGTGCGATCCTGATTCCCATGACATTGTTGGCAATGTCATGTTCTCATCGGATTTCACCGTGGTGCCAGTCCAAGGTTTGATTCATGCGGAGCAGGTCAGACGGTGGCGGCGCGCTGCTGCTGTGCTCTGTAGCGTCGGCTGGCGCGTGGATCCTCAATTGTTCAATATTCAAGATCTACAAACCCTTTGTGACTGCCAGGCCGCTCGAACGTCCGCCGCTCGAATTACACCTGCGAGTTGAAATGGGTGCTTGTGGTTGGCTTGTCGATCGGTATACAAACAGAGAATGAAGTCAAATGTGCCGGGTGGGCTTTGCCGAATGTCTGAAGCAGAAGAGTGCAGTCGATGCGTGTCTGTTGCTCGCTCTTACACTTCCTTATTTCCTTCCTTGAAAGTGTTCGCTTTTACACTTCCTTTTTCCTTCATTGAAAGTGTTCTCAACGCTCAGCGATCCATTCCATCGCAAGGCAGCCAAGACAGTCAGCACAAAGAAGAAGCACAAGAAGCACCGTCGTCATGAGCGCACCTCACGCTCGCCCCGCCATCTACTCTGGAATGCACAACTGGCCAACAATCATGATGAGCGCGATCACGTGGCTTGCCTCCCAAGAAATCGAGTTGGCTCGCTGGCTCGCCGTCGGAGATGGCTGCTCGCAGCTGGTTGGGGATATGTCTGATCTATTCGGCAGCGATAAAGCAGGTCACCAACGAGCTCTGAATTTTGACCAGCTGCCACGGCTGGCGAAGAGGCACTATTCAGCTCCGGTTTATGTGGCGCTTTGAAAGCAGATCGGATGTGCTTGTATGACGTCTTGACGCTTCAAAACAAGAGAGGAGAGAGAAAAAAAAGTTTGGAACAAGTGTTGTGTTCTATGCATTTTCCTTCAGAGCTCTGTTCGTCAACTCTTCTGCTTTTGTCTCTTCTGCTTTCATCTCTTCTGCTTGCCTCTCTTTGGCTTTGGCATCGGTATCGACATCGACATGGGGGTTGCTTGACGTGTCTTGCTTTGTGTGTGGTGCTTGATCGCTTGTGCTTGGTACGGAACCCTCCTGTTGTGGTGACGCCAGCACGATAGATTGAGAGCATCGCTGCCACTTTTTTCTGACCCTGGTGTGAGTGCAGCTCAAACTCGACAGCGTGTGCTTGGGCAACCAAGTACAGTTGTACTCGCCCTTGTCGCCCAAAACTGTTCGCCAGTGGTAAGTCCCTTGGCGCATCAGGCAGAGAAGAGCCGGTTCCACTGACCGGCTGCCGTTTTGGATTTTGAGTTGTCAGACGAGTTGTGCTGCGAGGGGGCTCATGAAGGATAGAGAAGCAAAAAAGCGGTTCTGAAGCGGATGGTGAAAAGAGAGATACCGTTACCATGAGTCATGATGGAGAGCAGTTGTGGGATGCGTGTTGTTCATCAGACCCACAAGAGGCGCTGCAGTTGTTGACCAGTTGGGACCAACAACGTATTCGAGATGCTGCCAAATTCAAGGATGATTGGGTACGTAGGCTGTTTGGTATGATGTTGTGTGATATTGGTAAAATTTTGAATATGACAATGAATATGGTATGACATGGCACATAATATACTGCATATTTGCATCATCCCACAGGATGGCTATACACCACTGCACAGAACCTGCAGTTACGGTCATATCAAGGTGGTGGAGACGCTGTTGAAGCACGGTGCTGATGCTAATGCCAGGAACAAGGTCAGCACAGTACCTTCCTCTTCCCCCTTTACCCCCCTATATGGACACCTGTACCACATGAAGATGATGATAATGATGATGTCCTTGTATGTCATGCTGATGCATCGTCCCACAGGATGGCAAAACACCGCTGCACGATGCCTGCCAAAGGGGTCATGTCAAGGTGGTGGAGATGCTGTTGAAGCTCGGCGTTGATGCTGAAGCCAAGAACATCGTCAGTACCATACCTCCCCCCCCCCCCCCCTTTACCCCCTATATGATGGTACCCTGTACCACATGATGATGATGATGTACCTGTACGTCATGCTGATACACGATCCCACAGGATGACAAAACACCACTGCACTGGGCCTGCCAAAGGGGTCATGTCAAGGTGGTGGAGATGTTGTTGAAGCACGGTGCTGATACTAACGCCAAGAACAAGGTCAGTACAGTACATCTCCCTCCTCACCCCTTTACCCCCCCCCTATGATGGTGCACCTGTACCACAAGATGATGATGATGATGCTGATGATGCATCAAACAGGTTGCTCAAGCACCACTGCACTATGTCAGCTATTACGGTCATGTCAAGGTGGTGGAGATGTTGTTGAAGCACGGTGCTGACGCTGAAGCCGAGGACGACGTCAGTACAGTGCCCCCTGTATGATGCTGCACCTGTATCACGTGATGATGATGAAGATGCTGGACCTGTACGTCGTGCTGACGCATCCTCCCACAGAATGCCCAAACACCACTGCACTGGGCCTGCCACGACGGTCATGTCAAGGTGATGGAGATGCTGTTGAACCACGGCGTTGATGCTGAAGCCAAGAACAAGGTCAGTACAGCACTTTCTCTTTCCCCCCTTCACCCCTAAATGATGGTACACCTACAGTGTATCACGTGAGGATGCTGAAGATGCTGCGTCATGCCGATGCATCACCCAGCGTGGCCAAACACCACTGCACTATGCCTGCTATCACGGTCATGTCAAGGTGGTGGAGATGCTGTTGAAGCACGATACTGATGCCAAGGACAACGTCAGTACCATATC